CTCTCTCTCTCTCTCTCTCTCTCTCTCTCTCTCTCTCTCTCTCTCTCTCTCTCCCTCCCTCCCTCCCTCCCTCTCTCTCACACTCACATTCACACACACACACACAGAGTGAAAAGAAAGCTTTTCTCATGAGACATCTTGGAAATTCAGACAGTTAAAGAAAATAAAACACACATGTAGCCTAATATAAAGTCAGTTTCCCATGTTCCCATAGCTGAAATGCTTTCCACTATGAAAAGTATTGGCCAGAAGTGTTACATTTTCAATTTGTTCTTGTAGAATAATTCTTAACATTAAATTGCACACATCTTTACACTACTGTGCTTTCAGTACATTATGCTCACCAATCTCAGGAAAAAGAACACATTCTTTCTCTTTGAGCCCAATGGCACTCTTTTTATTTACTTAAGATATTGTCTCAGCCTAACCATCTTTTAGGACAAGCTATTTATAACACATTTTCATTAATTATACATCTTTGCAACTGGATGAAATAAGATTGCATAAGAAAAATGGAAAAGAGTCAGTTTCACTACTAGAACATCTTAAGCAGCATTGCTTTAATCTTAAACTGAGTCCCGATGAGAAAAACAAGATATAAAATATGATTTTAAACCAAAACACCTTTGAATTCTAGCATACATACAATATATCTGTGATTTTCTTATTTTAATTCAGAATAGTTTCAGCTGCTTTGTTATAAATTCAGGCAGCAGGAAACGAAAGTGTGGTGTCAAGTATTGTATGACAAGACTAATAAAAACTCTCTTTTATTATTTTAAGCAATTAACACATGAAATTTCGACCACAGAGTTCAATCACTGCATGTTGGACCATTTTGTTCCCCTTCATTGCTCAGTTCTGTCTCCATTAGAAAAGGAACTTTCCCAAGATATTAAAGGAGGATGAGTGCATTTTACCTGTGAACTATAGTCTGCCCCATAAAACAACAATTACACCTTGTCATAACTAGCTTACTTCTGCTCCAAATTCTTCACTCTTGGAACATGTTCATAAAACATAAGCCACAAAGTATGTCAGGCCTGCAATTATATTCCTTTTAGAATTTTGGCCTGCCACACTTTCTCTTATTTCATTATGCTATTTCATTAGTGTACTACTTGGGAGGGGGGAATAGAAAAGAGTAGGATTGTGGAATGTATTGTTTTCATTCTTTACTAGAAGCCAAGGTCATCCTTTGTCTCCGCACTTTTACGCC